GCCCCTGCCGCGCCAAGTGTCCCTGGGCTGGGGAGGAAGGGCCTCTTCTTTGGTCTTTCGCTAAGTGTTGAACAATCGCGGAAGTGTGTCTGTCCTTAGAACAGTACCCAATCTCGCTGGCGAACAGTCAGCCTAGGTGATCCTCTGAATCTTCTCAAATGAGTTTCCAGGGTGGTGTGGTCGGCAGCTATTTGGAGAAAATTAGGACGTGGCGCGTGAATTGGAGGGCGTTGCTCTAGTGCGAAAGGAAAGGGAGCGAAAACAGAAAGTAAAACGTCATAAAGTTCAGATTGATCTTGAACCCATGTCCAGAGATAGTAGAGTTGGGCTTTCCTAGAGCAGCTTTGGTTTTCATTCTTCACAGGACGAGTTTATTCAAGTCCTTGTCTCCAGTTGCCTGGCAGCAGGCTTGTTTACATGGTTTGACCCTGCAAGACCGGACGACTCCGGTTTTGCAGAGGTAAATCAGAGAGTGTGTATGGAGTTGAAGCTCAGAATCTGCTGTTCCCATCCGAGCTGTGATGTCGTGTCTGGGAAGGCCAGAGCCATACCCCAGGCTGGCAAATGGGTGACCTGAAGAAAGGCCACTCTGGTCATGCAGAGCCTATGGGTGCCCCCAAATACGCTTTGACCTCCTGAGGGCCAAAACGCTGGCTTTCTCAGACTTTGTTAAGTACTTCTCCTTCATGCTCTTAGGCCATTAGGAATGAAGACATGTTTAGCTTGAAGCTAGCCCCTAGCTGGAGGCCAAGTTCTCTCTTGGGCGGTCTGTTTGCTCAAGTTTGCTGCCTGAAGACTGGGAATAAAGAAACTAGATATCATGCAGCATTCTTTTGGGAGACGCTTTGTGTTGGTTTCAGTGACATGCCTGTGTGGGCACTCTCCATTTCTCAGTGCACTGCCTGTTTACTCTGATGACGGACTGGAGTCCCGGAGAGGGGCAGCATGCTTTCCCAAAGGCTGCCGTGTTAGTGCCATCCACTCGTTCCAGACCTTGCATTTTTCTGACCCAAGGGAGTGGGCTCATATTTCTGTCTTCTTTTATCTTCCTTCTTCCTCTTTTTCCTTCCCCTAACTCCCAGGACACACTCTTAACCCAGACCAGGGAGGGGCATCAGAAATGCTCTGGAATATTCCAAGCCTAATCCTACTAGGGTGATCCACCCCACCTGCTAGGGTGCCCCTTAATCTGCTCTCTTTTTCTGCTTAGAGATCGTGAGGCGAGTGGGTGAAGTGTCACCAGCGTACTCTCCAGGACCCACAGCCTGTGTTCTGGGCAAGGCCTTTGAACAGGAATGGTCAGGCCTGTGACAGCCTTCACTTAGAGTGGCTGCACCACCCATAAACCCCGGGCTGGGGGATGGGGAACCAGCTGGAGCACAAGTATTTGATCCTTCCTGGTTTGTATGCAGGTCAAGCAGGACATAGTGGTAAGGGCTGGCACCAGCAGTGAATATAGAAATCACAACAGTAGCTCAGCAGTGGAAGGAAGCCCTTTTCCAGGCTGTGCAGGGGGCTGTTGAGCTGCCTGGCTCAGAGACAGGAGATGGTCCTATACCTGTGGCCTCTGTCAAAAAAGTTCACACAGGGCCTTCAGCAGACTTATGGCCCGGAGTCTGGCTCTCAGAGGCCTTGGAAAGCTCTGATGTCTTTGTTTTTGGTGTTTTTTCCTTTGTGTTGGAAGTTTTCTCTCAGTTCTACCAAGAGAGACTCACCACATTTGACCTAAGGGACAAGGGGCAGTCAGAGGATTGGTGCTTGACTCTCAAAGGTGAATAAGGTGGGGGAAGCGGTTCATCCCCAGAAACCCTGGCCAGTGGGGCCAGGTCCGAAGAGCGTTGGGCTTTTTTATTATTATTATTTTTTTTAATTAACATCCAAATTAGTTAGCATATAGTGCAACAATGATTTCAGGGGTTAGGTTCCTTAATGCCCCTTACCCATTTAGCCCATCCCCCCTCCCACAATCCCTCCAGTAACCCTCAGTTTGTTCACCATATTTATGA